AAAAAAAAAAAAAAAAAAACGATTCAAAATTTTTTTACATATATTATTTGAGTTAGTTAGGTGATATTCCTTTAATTTGCACATATTAGTTGAGTTAGTTTTAGGTGATATTCCTTTTACCTTTCTCCTACTAGAAAACAACCCTTATTTCCCAAATAATGGTCCCCTTACATAACCTATTTTCAAAATTTCCTATGTCCTTAGAAATATTTTTTCTACATAGAATATTCACGAAACCAAACTTAAAGTAAATTTGGAATAATATGCTGTCGTACTTACCAAATCTGCCCAAGTATATATTTCTTACTATATTAAAGAAAATTGAAAAATAAAGTCTCATGTCACATTAAGTTCAATCAAAATATCAAATGGCAAATTTTGTCCTATATGATGTCAACTCCCATTACAATAATTGTAATATGTAGGTATCAATAAACGAGTAATGCTCTCCTACATACGGTGGACACATGTTAATATGTTCATCGCTTATGTGGCATGCACACATTGGTGATGTTAATATATTCAAAAAAATACATCACCAATATGTACATGCCACATAAACGGTGGGCATATTAACATGTGCCCACCGTGGGTAGGGGAGAATTACTGATCAATAAACTATCGCAATTTTTTTCGTGTGAGACAGCCTAATCATTAGACGAATTAATTCTCCATATACATTTAAAACAAAAATGCGCATTTATATTATAAAATGTCATATTTTTAATTTACGTATATAGAAATGCACTCTTATATTATGAAATGTGATACTTTTATTTACGTTGTTTTATAGATACAGTGGATGACAACTTAATTTTATGTCACAGACTCAGACTATTTATCTGGTTTAATTCTATTTATACAAAAAATAAAATACAAACTATATGTATATATATATATTATATTATCAGAAATGCTATGGAACCATTAGATGGTTTCCTTATGGAGTCATCCATAACTTTATGTATTGACACGTATCTAATGTGTATTTATTGCAGGACACGTGTCAATACAACATTTGTGAATAACTACGAATGGCTATAAGGCAAGATTTGATGATTCCATAACAAAATCGATTATATTACGGGTGCCAAATTCGAATACCTTATTTTGCTCGATCACATGAGCTATTAATTAATTAAAAAAAAAAAACTTATTAACAAATTTACTTCATTTCCAAAGCTATTAGGCATGTTTTATATTTAATTTTTTTTTTTCCCGTATTTATATTATATTTTACATACACAAATGAAATGTATGTGTGTGTTTATATGTGTTGGCCTAAAAGTGAATAAAGGTTGTAGGTCAAAAATAGGAGGTCAGAATGGGCTTTGTCCGCATGGTGAAGTCATTAGTAGTCACGGCGTGGGCGTGACACTGTTCAACTATTGTCTCTTTGCATGGACCACTTTTCCATATATTGCTACTTTACCCCTTCAATTTTATTTAATTTATATATATCACCCACTACACTAATTATTTTCAAAATTGAATATCTATATATATACCCCTCCCAAGCTTTCATTTTAGCTTTATCCATAATTACTCATATGTATATATATATATATATAGCAAAAATGTGGCATGCACAATATATATATATATATATATATATATATATAATATCTTTCTCTCTGTGCACCCTCTAATAGTTGAAGCTGCCAGCATGATCTCAAACTTGCCTTAAAAATGGAGGGGAGATAATTAAGATCATGTGGAAGTTTCACCTGTTGATGGAGCACGGATATATATGTTTTGTTTGTCGGTCGTTTTTAATATGAATTATATATGTCGATCGATATATGGCGATTTGAAGAACGAGTTCATGATGGTGTATTAGGTTTTTGTAACTGGGTGTTTTCTTTAATCTAGAGCTAATTATAAGAGAAATGAAAGGATTTATGTGGCTTTTGAAGATATTTGGTATGGGGAAATAATTTGGTTTCTAGCTATTGACTTTCGACAAATTCTTGTGTGAGTTAGCCTAACAGTTTTTGTTATATTTCATTTGAACAAATATGTATAGTCATGCTGTGAAGTGTTAAGTTTTAGTTCATGTTGTGCTTCAAAATTGAGATTTCAGTTTAAAAGTATATGTATATATATATATATATATGTTGAAAGAATATACACTACAAGAAAAACTGCATTTGGCGACGCTTATTAATGACGCTTATTGGTGAGTTGTGTTGCTAAATTTGATGTCAGAAAAAAATAAGCGTCAGTAAACAAAAAAATAAGCGTCGCCAAATGCAGTTTTTCTTGTAGTGATAATTGTCTAACCGTTGAACCGGAACCGCGTATTGTTCCGGGCCGGGACCGGTCTGGTGATGGGACGACGAGCCGGTCCAGCCGGCGACCACGTCTAGGTTTTTGTGTATTGTAAGATCCATTTTTGGGTGTCAAAATCATGCGTGAACTTGATATACTTTATTAAGCATCGAGCACCTTTTTAATTGATTATGTTATCTAAAAAAACCAACTTTATTAACGTGAATCAGTACCGACAAAAAATGTAGGAATGTGGGATTCTCATTTACCCCTTTTTTTGGGAAGCACTAAGCAGCAGTTAAAATTCTGTTTCTCCGAGGTCCAATGAACAGTTAAATGCTTAAATAAAAACATTGAAAGTTCGTCGAAACCAGTGTTATATCAACACACACCAATGTGGGTGTGTGTGGGTGTGTGAGTGTGTGTGATCTATCGGGAAGTAGAATCGAATCTATAGAAACACACACCAATTTGGATCAAAATTGCTCAGAAAAATATTTCTTCACTTGTCTAAGGTCTAAATAGTAAATACACAATCCTAACTAAAAAAATTGCTCTGTCCTGAAAAGAAAAACCCACATGCAAATACACCAATAAATATCATAAACTACAAACCCAACCAACAAAATTAAAAAAATAAATAAATAAATAAAATAATTGAGAGAGAGACTAAATCCCACAGAAATAAGCTCCGTTTGGTAGAACGAGCTTATTTGATAAGCTACTTTTGGTAGCTTTTCAAATAAACTTGTTGATATTTTTATTTCAGCTAGTTTATCAGCTAATTTTACCAAACACTTTTATCATATAAACTAGTTTTTCAGCTATAAGTCATAAGCTATAAGCTATAAGCTCGAAAATTAATAATAAGCTATCAGCTAGCTTATCGGCTAGTTTTACCAAACATAGCCTTAATGGATTCTTTTATTTTCCTGTTAGGTTTCATTTCATTTATATCATGCACCATATATAGATCACAAGGACCAAATGGTTCCCCTCAGCAACTCCTTTCATTGCCCCCAACTCGCCATTTGATGTGAGATTCTCCAGAAAATATTGAAATTTAAATATACATATAGACAGAGTTATCCACTTTCATCACCACCAATTCCCTCTTTTTCTTGCATCCAAAATTTTATGAACTTGTCTCGAATTTCGTTGGCATCTACTCTCTGCTTCGAATTTTTCGTTCGACTAAAAATATCAGTTCTCTGCAAAACAGCAAAATTGCTTTACAAGTTCCAAAATTGTCGAAGCTAAACATCTTACCGTACACCTAATCGTATTTTGTATATTTTGTAAATCCTAAAGGAGTGAGAAAAAATTACTGATTCAAATTGTATAATGAGATGTTGTGATCGTTACCTACAGATATTATGTGTTTTATTGGACTTGGCGATGTAAGAGCAACATCCAATCACCATAGCCGTTTGCACCACCGACCTGATCCTCCACGAGATTCGTCAGAAGGAAGAAACTTTCTCTCGGCTGTTCACCTTGCCTCACGAGATGAACTAACTGATAATATGATTTGTCGCCCTCCCGAATTTCGTCAAGTATCTTCATCAGTTTTCTGGACATTTCATTGTCTCGCGGCTTAAGGCTAACCTGGATTTATCAAACATGTTTGAGGGAGAGAGAGAGAGTTTTCAGAGAGAAAGAGTTTTCAGAGAGAGAGAGAAAGAGAGAGAGTATTCAGAGAAACAACAAAATGGGAAATGGAAGCTGACATTTGAATGATCTGCTGCCAAATCTTCCCCGAGCAAGTTCCTAGCTATATCAGGCGAAATCGACCTCCCGAACCAAATCACAAACTGCAAACCATCATCAAAGATGTACAGACCTCTAGTGTCTAAGCTCTCTGCAGTAAGTGGTAGCCTCTTTGAGATGTCATATTCTTCATCCTGGGTAAGAAATAAACGATAGTTCGTGAGAGGTCCTTCACAAAACTCAAGGTTCATAAATCCCACCAAAGAAAACAAAGAAGGCGAGGCCAACTTACTTTCAAAAGACAGTCATCCAGTCGAACCAGGTCCGGATAAAGAAGCTTGAGCAGATTCTTAACGGGTAATGCCATCATGGTGAAAGCAGACGCACACCTTTCGCTGAGGTGGACATCCGAGAACTCACCACGGAGGGGTGTCGATTTACATAATGCTAATCCGTACAAGGGTAAAAATTTTAGCGACTCGGGGTAAATCATCCTTCCACTCAAGCGATGCTGGACGCCGAAAAGATTTCTGTATTCTCTGAGGGCTTTGACAATACGTAGCTGAACAGCATTTCGGGCGTCTTCCAGCTTGGAGGAAAGGGTTTTTTCAATCGCTGCAGATTAGTTCGTGACATATACTTGTTAGGTGATATATTCATCAAAATTAAATCACGAGTGGTTGTTAAATACATTTAGAGAAGGTAAGTGAGAAGTAAATTTGTTAATACCCAGCCGGGAGAGTACAGAAATAATTGCTCCAGTGTCGGCCAAGCGGTACATTTCTCCAAGATCTGCCACAACTGGAGCCGCTGCAGTGTGCACCCTAATACGCCTTTCTCCGGAAGATGATGTGTATCTTTAGCAATAGTTAAGAAATTCTTTTGCTATATATGCTCTCCAATTTCAACTCACAATGTCCAACATTAATAAATAAATAGAGAGAGAGAGAGAGAGATAGCAGCCAGAAATCTATCCAAGATAAATATATATCACCCATTCAAAAGAACACGAATTTCCTTTAGAAATGGTTACCATGAAAGATTATAAAACTAATTAAAGAAAAAAGAAACATGATAAATGAACACATATTGAGTTACTCATATGAAGTATAATGCAGTGCAGAAAAAAGGATACAGAAGTGCAACTTGGAAGTACACGGTCTGAGTGGCCAAGAGTGTCTCTTCAAGAGACAGCTGTGCAGCATAAGCTTTATCACAGTCAACAGCAGGCAGTGCAAGTAGATCGGTGGATCTGAGCATAAAGTTACCATGATAAGTTGTGAAACGGACACCTACAGATGAGAAGACATAAGCTTACAACATTCCATTTAGGTCAAAGACAAAGAACTAGGATGGAATATGAATTTCATTATTCTACCAGCAATAAAATATTTGTACCTTTGCCACATCTTATCCGCATGACAGCTTCCCATGCAGTCTCTCTAGTGAGATCTCTGGCTAGTTCATGTCTCAATTTATCTCTGTGAATACTTGCCTGAAAACTTGGATAATAATACACCTGACCACCAGTATATTTTGCCAGCGTGCCTGTAAAGCATTAAGAGATGGCAGGTTAAGTTAAACGTAGTAGTCTAAATGGCGAATGGAGACCGAATTCAAGTCGAAATGGAAACACAGTCTCAGCTAAGTGAAAAAACGGGGAATTTTAATCAAAGAGTAGAACTTATATATGTTAATGTCATCTTACATGAATGCCTCTTGCATATTTATCACACTACATCTGGCAATACCAAAAGGTTACAAGACAATGGAATGGTAGAAAAACCGAATAACAGGGAAATTTCATGGTGTTGTTGCATCTTTTCACGATTTTGAGGCAGAATAAAAAAGACAATGTTACTCATGAAAGGATTCATCTCTAGAATTCACCTCGCGGCATTTCAACATATTGGCACTGCTCCCTTTCATTTCTAGTTTCTCTATGTTAACGTTATATAATTCTATTTCATGACCTATTACATTAACAAAAAGATACGTGAGTTTCCTATACCTCAATTTAATGAATCTCGCGGCATGGGTCCTTCATGTGCTTTAGTCAGTTGCAAAGGGGCGTGTTAAGGACTTCAAGCTCTATAATATACTTAATACAATATCTATAAATGGCAAGCTTAATCAATCAATTTAATACTAGTACAACACCCGTATATTACACGGGTGCTTGTTAAAAAATTATTCTTAAATTTTAAAATTAATGAGAAAACTATATTAAATTTAGTTTACTTTTTAACAAAAAAGAATATATTAATTTTAGAATGATATATGTTACTTATGACTTACATGTGTTATATTATATTAGTTTTTATTACTTATATCATATAACTACTTGAAATATAAATATATAGTTGATAAATAATTTTATTTTCTAATTAATATTAAAAATAATTGGTATAAAGATAAATATAAATTATTTTTTTTATACATACAATATGGATATAGATGTTATTATCAAAGCTCATCAAAAGAAGATTAATTTGATATATTACATATATAAAGCTGATGAAAAATACAAAAGTTATTAACTTTTAAAATATATATACAATTCAATAATTATAATAAGGAATGATATTAAAACATATTTATGGTAATCCGAACCTAATTATTTTTGGTTTGGAATTAAATTACAATTTACCCAAGCCTAATAACGAAGCATGTAATTTTGCCACATAGGATTCTGAAGCACCAGAAGCAGCCATGTAGGCTCAACGCGTTCTGAATTAATATATAGGGGAGATTTATCTAGTGTAAGGCAATGGAAATGTCGAAACGGGCGTAAATGAAGTTATAGTCATTTGGTATTCCAATCAAAAGATCAAAGTTGAGGCAGGATAACGCTTACCTAATGATGCTATATCTATGTACTTATCGCTGAAAGCATAAAGATTTACAGCAATCTGATACTTGGTAAAATCAGCGGCCATCTGTTTATAAAATGTATCCTCCGGTACACGTAGAGTATGCTCCTTATCTGTCCCATAGACACGAATATCATCCCCACGCAACCTCAGGCGCCCAACACCAAGTGATGGCAGAGAACTCTGGAAAATCAACAATTTACCACCAAGTTGGCGCTGACAATGAGCCAATAATTAGTTAGTATCGAGCTTAACAGAAACCAATTTCCTATAACTACAAGTGCATCAACAGAAAGTCATAAAATTATTTGTCTGAAAGCCAAGTTAGGCAAGAATTTACTTCATTAATGCAAATGCAAGTCAAAAGTTGTGAAGGGACCAGCATACCATAATCATGAATACAGCTTTAAGAGCAGGACCGAATGCAGATTCAACATTCATGTTGTCCTGGAACATGGATGGCAAATTATCAAGGAATGCCTCTATCACACTTCTAGATTCTGACAGGTTCACTAGAAGATCATCGGGCAATGGAACAAATATATCATCCAAATCTGAGACAACCATCATCTGAGGCTGTGTCAATGACGACTGATAAAAAAAAAGGCCATTAGTTATTCAACAGAGTTGAAGGAAGATTACAAATACTATAAATTGACAACTGTACAGTGACACTCTACCTTCATGTTATAGAAATGTATATTGCTATCAAAAGTAATGAAACCAATCTGTGTTCGAGGATAACCAGGCAAAGTGTCTAAACAAGACTTAATAGTTTGTGCCATAACCTGCAAGAAATAATGTTTATTTGTAAAGATTCAGTAAGCAAACACAAACTAAAAAACTTAAACAGAAACGAAAGAAAAAAGATGTCAATCATCGTGAATGCTTAACATAACCAAGTGTTTCGACAGGTGGATACACAGGTTTTATAACCAAATTTACAGCAGAGAAAATAATTATCATATGATATGAAGGAAAAGACTACATAGATTTGAGCAAAAATGAAAAATGTCTTTCAGGCTCCCCAAAGACTCAGATTTACCCCTAAAAATTTTGTTAAACATCAACAAGCTATCCGTCTCATTAAACTTGAATTTCGATTGTTGAAGTTCAAATGTATGCCATGTAAGAAGCAGAGCTAGCCTAGCAAGCAAAGAGATCCCCTTTCGGACAAAACTAAGCTGCTGCTGGATCTGCAGTTAGCATATGGTTCAGTACTGCTACCTCCCCCAGAATAAAGGTAAAAAAAATTAGAAACTGAAGTTTTGTCATCTTCTATCATATAATATTTTTTGAATACCAAATACGTTTGAAGCCTACGGTTTTGGATGAATAGCAAAGGATTGTCAATACCCAAAACTTAATCTCCTTTCCCCTCTCATTCATTCCAAACATTATAATAGGATCACAGATGAATAAACCCAAAAATATTTAATCAACTCCTACGCTTGCTACTTATTATAATCAAAACAATATATTTCAGCTTTCAGATATATAATTTGGTAGATATAGTGGATATAGAAAGTCAACTTTTCAAATTATGACAGATAATAGCTGAAATCTAATTCCTACAAAAAAGATATCACATCCTATTTTAGAGAAATAGGTATATCATGCAAATAGACCTATAACTGTCAACTCCCTATCTCCTTTCAACAGTAAATCATGATGAAACAGTGCAAGAATAACTAGCCCGACGTGCACACACACACACATATAATATGTAATGGAAAATATTACCTCTAGCATTCCGTTTTGGATTGCAGATATCGATACGTCAATTAGAAAAAAATACAGAGGTGGCATTGGTGGGCGGACCATGTACTCAGCCGGAGCGATATATTCAACACTACCCTTAGTTAGTTCAGGCCTCTGATCCAAATCAACTCTTCTACCAGTAGCATCCAAGTGCGAAAAATATTCTCCTGGGACTGGAAATGAGAATGTTGATTAATCAGTTTTGAGCCGGTGCAATTACAAAACCAATTGAATCAGCCTCGAAGATAACCTATTTTTAAATTATGCCAAAAAGACTTAAAAAATGTGCTGGATTGCCATGCAGCATGATACAGTTGTAAATTAGAGATAATATCCTCTGATTATACTAGAAGAAATGCCTCTTTAAACCTGCACTTTTAACAGTCAGAAAAACCATACCATCATTGGGCAGTGTGCAAATATTGCATTTCCACTTGCTTCCATTGTTCACGAACGTGACATATGGATTCACATAAGTGCGGCACCTCCTACAACGAATAAGGCCCGTCGCGGCAAAATTCACTACTGGAACTTCCTCCTGAACAACAGCCCAAGTGAACAGTTAGAGAAGATAGATTGATAGTGGCAGATGATATAGCTGTAAACATAATGTCGGTTTCAAAGCGAACTAACCCCAGTTGATGCTTCTGCCAAAGGACACACAACAGCCCCTAAAGGCAAATGCCACCGAGATGCCAGGGACTGAGAATTTGGTATGGCGCTTGTCGTCAGTCGTAAGACTCTAGAACGACAATTCATCGGGTACAACTCGGCAAAAGACTTGGGCTCAACATCACCATCCAATGGCCTCGGAAATGCTCCAGTATCATGTCCTGCATCAAACGATCCTGGTACGGATCCAAGAGAGAGTGAACTAAAATCTTCTGCAAGTGCCTGTGGAGTTGTGCTTGGTGGTCCAAGGCCATGTTGATGAATTTGGTTCCCAGAATAAAGCCCTGATGGAGCTGCAATTGGAGGACCGGGAACATACCCTCTTTGTTGACCCTGAAAAGGAGTTGGAGGTGCTGGTGGAGCAAAGCCTCCCTGTTGCACGGGAAAGTTACCTGGCCGCATAGGTGGAGCTTGAGCGACAGAATCTGGTTGTGTCTTAGCATACCCAGGAAAAGCCGGTTGGAAGGTACCCGTGGTGGCAGCTGCATAAGATGGCCCCACTGGCCGAGAAGAAGACTGGGGAAGTTGGGCATTCGGCCTTGTGAGCGGAGAGTGTTGATCTGCAGGCAAGGGAACATTCATGTTGGGTTGTCCTATTTTCATGCTTTGAGGTGGAGTACCAATGGGAACTGGAGGGGGTTGAAGTTGTGAAGGGAAACAGACCGGAACCGGAGGAGCTCTAGCGGAAGGAGAGCCAATGGGCTGACTCGTAGAGGAGGGACGTGGAGGAGGTGGCACTTGACCAGTTGACATGACTGGAGGAGTCGGGAAACGCTGAAATCCTGGAGTAAGTGGGGGCCTAAAGGCATTTGCCTCTGATCCAACCAAAGGCCCACCTGAAAAAGAAGGTGCCGGAAACTGAGAGGACATAGGAGGTGTGGGCCTAAAGGGAGATGCTGCTTGTCCTGTCACAGGCCCCGATGCTGAAAAAGGTACTGCCTTTGTCGACTGTGGAGCAGCAAAGGGTGTTCCAGCTGGTCTTGCTGGGTAACTTGGACGGTTAGGACTTTCAGTATCCATGAAGATATTACACCTCAAGCTAGATCACCAAAGCTTCTGCAAGCGATCATGAAGAATACGTAAATAGACGAAATCAAATAAAAAAATAAAAGAAGGTTATTTCACCATAGCTGAAGAAATTAACTTACTGTAAGTATTTACTTTAGTCATTACCAATCAATCCAGGGGATAAAGGGTTCACGTTCAACCGAACATCTCAATATGATTATGTAAAAATATCACATTCACAATAGCATCAAAGGAAGGTTGCTGCTGCTTCAACCACACAAAGGACGACGTGTATTTCTCACGACATTAGACTGAAACTATAATAAACTATAATTAACAAAAAGAGACAATCATACACTGTGCAATTCGGCACTATCACTACTACACTCAGCAAATTACTACTTCGCCAGGAAAAGAAACTATCCTCACAGAACCAAATTATTACACCAGAATTTATCATTAATTTGATCGAAGGAAGTAGCTAAATGCACTCAGTCTCAGTTACAGGAAAAGGAAACAGTTTAAAACAAGCTTTTCTGCAGCACCCATCACACATCCACCAAGCATACGTTCATATTTGCAGCCCGTACTTAATGAACAAAAAAGCTAATCTCGAAATTGAACAGACCAACCTCAAATTGTCGTTGAGAAATTACAGGATTTTGCCACAACTGCTATCCAGCAGCTGGTCGAATAAACAAATCGGAAAAAAAAATATCAATTACCTGATCGAAGATGTCGCCGGCGAAAGAAATCGCAGAGTATTAACCCGGCGATCAGAGAAGCGGGTGTGGCGAACAGAAGCAAAACGAATCAATTCATTAATCTGCTCTAATTTGTAGACTGTAAATAACAGAGAAAAANNNAAAAAAAAAAAAAAAAAAAAAAAAAAGTATGTATGGAGTAACAAGACGATCTACTTTCTTTTTTCAACTTCTCGACATCGGGCTTTTCCACGGGCCGAGCCAATTTTCAACCGTTTTCGGATTCGGGATTTTCTATACATTCTTTTTCAATTTGGTGTGGTTACCGAATAAATCAAAAATCGAACTTATGAAAACTATAACCGCACAGCACTGCAACGTAAGAACCGAAACCTAACCGAAAATTTTTGACATAAAAAAAAATCGAATCGAACCGAACCGCACCGCTCGGATTTTCGGTTTCGGTTTGATTTTTCTCCCCCTAATCGCCGAGATTATTTTACGTTTCGTTTTATTTTTTCAGGTAACAACTAGTACGAATTAGGTATAAACCGTATAAATTAAATCAATAAAGTAATATTAATTAACATAAAATTAATTTTTAATATTAATATTAAGTTTCATTATTTTTTATTTTAATAATATAATAATTAATATATAGTTTATATAATAATTTCACATCTTATAAAATAGTTATTGTTTTAATGTTTTTTGTTTAGAATTAAGAATATGAAATCTAACATATTTAAGCATTATCAATCAATACGACTCACGAAAATACTTATATTTCTCTTCGTTAATCGTACCTTCTTATAATATTTTATGACGATGTTAAATAAGTGATGGTAAAATTGAAAAATTGTGACAATTATTATAAATTATAAATATTATATTATAAGTATTTTGAATTTTATATTTAATCTAATCATTTATATATCAGTTCGACACCAACTGATTTATCATTATAATTTAACAATATAAATTATAAATATTCTTTTTTCGAAACTATAGTTTACATCGTTACTCGACAAGCCAACAATTAGTACAATCACAAACAAACATTACATAAAATTCTTATTATTTAAATTGTAATTATGACAAGAAAATATAATTAAGAATCATTTTTCACTCATTTATTATTATTATTATTATTATTATTATTATTATTGTTGTTGTTGTTGTTGTTGTTGTTGTTGTTGTTGTTGTTGTTGTTGTTGTTATTATTATTATTATTATTATTATTATTATTATTATTATTATTATTATTGGTTTGGTAAAATTAAGTATGACATTTTTTTTTCTTTTGCCAATTTACACTCCTGTCGAATGATTTGAAAAAAAATTGCATGCACCATGATTTGAGAAAAACATTAGCATCTATACGTGATTTGTGGCAAACAATTAGAAAAATGCATAATGTCAATTACCAAATAAAAAAACGATTTTGTTCCTGTAATTCCGTAACTAAAGGCAAACACGACTAAAGAAAAAAATCTCATAAACATGGAAAAAACGGTATACATGGTCATGTCGTACCGGACGATTCAACGCGATCTCTCTGCGTGACAACAGCGTGAGGCGGCTGTAGGCGGCTAAATTCCGGCTGGAGAGGTTGTAGTCGTTGCGCGCACTGAACGCGTGAGATTGTCGGAGGTTGCTGTGTGGCTGAACGTGGATGGAGAAGATGTCCAAGAAATGAAATCCATTCATGGTGACGCTGAAGAACAACAACACAACGAATCCGACTGATCGGTACAGCGGTGAACGACTTCCTCGCCGGGCGTAGACGATGACGACTTCATCTAGTCGTCCTCTTCGAAGCCCGAGAGTATCGACAGTTTCGAGAATATATGCAAATTGACCAAAAAATATTTTCATTATATGATGCGTTTATACTCAATATGTTTGCAGTATATGTTGCATTTTTATTTACATAATATAATATAATCACTATTGTGATGTTTGATTTTGTTTATACTGTTTGTTTATATTTCTTACTTAATTTTATACTGAAAATATGTACTAACATTGATAATTAAAAACATATTATAAGGGCTCCTAAGATGTGAATATATATATACTCCCTCTTGTTCATAATACTTGTCGTTTTGTGAAGTTGCACAATAATTAAGAATTTTTAATTTTTTTTGCTAATAATAACCTTCTTTAATGAAAATTTATAATGTGAAAATTAAGAGTGAATATGAAAAGGCGTAACTTATTTATTAGCTAAATGAGGATAATAATAGAAAAATATGTACAAAATATCCATAAAGTCATTTATTTGGTTAATGGTTGATAAGGCCAAAATGTCATTTAAAAAGACTATGAAATATTATATACTAGATTATAATTTTTTATTTTTTAATTTGCTCAATCAAAATTATGTTTATGCTTCGTTTATAACATGTAACTATGTATATAAGTAGATATATACAATTGACGTCTTCGTAACATATAAGCAGATGTATACAATTAGAAAAAAACTATCACATCGACACTTATAACAAAGAGATGTCAAAGCTAACGACGAATATCATAATCTTGTGCAAGACAAACATCAAGATATTTTCAGTTTATGTTGCATTTATAGTCAGTATATTTCAGTGTATGTTGCGTTTTTATTTACATAACTTTTACTAGCTCAAAATGCCCTCTTGAACAACAATCAGACAAACTTCACTGAAAAGATTGATGTCTAGTCTAATCTCTTTATTCAACATCAGTGCCATCAAAATTCTGCTAATATGTCAACCACAAACTATAAATTTAATTATCTCTCCATATAAATTTGTAAACCAATTGTTTTACTGTAAATTTATATCTAGTTTATTTTTCAGTTTATTATAGATTTATAAATCAATACAATAATACATATTTTGTGTTTTTTTTTACATAAATTTATATCTAGCTTATTTTTAAGTATGTTGCGTAGCATAAAAAAGTACGCTAATATACCAAACATGAAATATACATAAACATCATATAAACATTTAAAACATATCCGATCGAAACTATCCGAATGTTGCCGCTGTTCACAAGCAGGGTTTGCCGTCGCGTCGCTGAAACTCCATGTTGTCGTCTTTTGAATGAGCCAAGCGAAACACCATGGTTCAAAAGCGGGGACGTCATTCGTCTCGTCATGCCGCCGGTGCTCGACCCCTCCATTGTCGGTGCTCAGTTCGAGTTCCCATCGCCTTCGGTTGAAGCCCACCGTCCGACGACATTTGCCACTCACGAGCCGAAAGGTACCACCGCACAATCGTAGTCGTCATCTTTATGCGCCGAACTTGCATGTTGTCGCGCCATTCCATTTGCTGCAGAGGATGACCCGAGAGAAGGTGTGGGGTGGTCCGTCTCCTTCGCCGCCAGGTGGACTGCTATTGACGTTGTGTCTGGGATCGATATGAGTCAGTTTTCTCCCGAAAAGTGAATTCAATAATTTTTTTTTTCAACTACTCCCGATAAATCAGAATTCATTACAGATAATATATTTATGTTGCTTAATAGAATATCTCATGTTTATGCAAATAAATTTGTAAAAATTGCTACACTTGTTAAAAGTTATAATTGTTTCGTTAGAACGTAAATAGAAAATTGTGAGGTCGTCGGTGGAGTAATTTCCTTTTCGAATTAAGGAAATTTTTTCCCATCCGACGGTAGGCGGACTGGATTAAGAAAATTCACATGAGCAATAGATTTAAGCCCAACAAGAGATGGGCCGACCCAGAATTGGATAATAGCTAAAACAAAATACAAATAACGCAAACAAAAAAAGTTTATATATAAACTTTGATAAAATTACATCAAATTCTTGTAGAAAAATCTTCTCCTCAGTCACTTGTCTCTATTTCTTCGAGCCGCCGGCTGCTCAAGCTTCCGACAGGAAGTGATTTTCATGCCCAATCAGAGTTGTTTTGGTCGAGGTATACGCTCTGTTAAGCTACTAGGGTTTTAGGGGCTTTCTCGTTTTCTTTCCATTTTTTTGAACTGTTGTTCATCCTATGTCTTTTTTTTCATGAATTTCCTCGCTTGCTTGCTTGCCTTCTCACATTCTTGAAATTTGGTCTTAGTCTATGTTTTTCGGAGACCGATGTCGAACTGCGAATGTGGGTTTTTGATCTATGAGTCGTTAGAATTGTACCTTCAGAAGAATTAATCTTGGGTGACTTCGCTTTTGGATTGCATTTGTTAGCATTTGAATTGTTGCTCAAAACCGATGGCTGTTTTTTTTTTTT